CGATTCCACCGGCGTAATACGTTATTCCGAGTTCGCGTGCGTCGATAAATTTCCCGGTCCACAAAAGGCAAAACAAATTCAAAGTCGACAAACATTATCAATTATTCAAAGTCCACAAAGGTTAACAATTTCAAGTCCACAAACAACTACAGGTTGTAACTCTCTAGTCCGGCATTCTGTGCTCCGCAAACTCCCGTGGTCCAAAACAATTTTACTTTCTCCAACAGGTACATAGGCAGTTTTTTTTTTTTTTTCTTGCAAATTATCATTATTATAGCAGGAGTATTAAATTGTGGGTCAGTGACTTATGCCCAGGTGGGCTAATCCCCAAAAAAAAAAAAACCCCAGGAAATTAAGGTTTGTTTACATCCAGCACTTCAGCTGCTCTCTCTCTCTCTTTGTCTATAGAGTACAACATTTAACCCTTCAGCAATAAATAAGTGTTGCTTTCATATTCTTATGTACAGTAATGACGATATCTTTTCACATGTGCGCACTCACTTTTTTTATGGTTAACTACTTATATTGTTCCATTTTTTAACATTACACGTACTTCAAACGAGCATATTAATTTTTTTACATTAATTTTACTGCAGCTAAAATCAGGGTCTTATTTTCTTCAGTTTTATATGTACAACCAATCGGTCACTGGTTTTGTGAGCTTTAACGTAAACGATGCCGGCAGCCGTCTCGTCTCGTCTCGTCTCCTCTGATATTCCACGTATTAATAATAAATTCTAGTGTTAATTTTGCACACACAAACATTAATTCAATAAAAACAAATTCACAAACATCAATTAAAATATATATGAACAGTAAATAAGTGTTGCTTTCGTATTCTTACGTAAAGTAATGACGATATCTTTTCGCATGCCCACTTACGCGCGCGATCTCTTTTTTTTCTTTACCGTTATCGTTAGCTACTTCTATTGTTCCATTTATTAACATTACTTAAAACAACCATAGTCATTTTACTACAGCTACAGCCAAGGTCTTATTTTCTTCTCTTTTATATGTAGAACCAGTCAGTCACCGGTTTTGTAATCGACGAAAACAATGCCGTGTGTTTTAATATTCTACGTATTATTAATGAATTGTATTGCTCATTTTGCACACAAACAGTAATTCAATAAAAAAGACATTCACTAATAAACAATAATGAATCTTTTCTACACGAGAGAAATGACGCTCTTTACGCGATTGTGCCAGTCGTCTGCACGTTGGCGGGCCGTTCAAACCCGTCGAAATTCCACTTTCCGCCGTCAAAATTTCTATTTATTTATTTTTGGCTCTGTTCCAATAAAATACGTTAAGAATTAAAAACTCTCCAAATTTCACGAGCTACTATACGACATTTAACCCTTCAATATGTCTTCAAAGAGGCCGTGATGCAGAGAAAGTGGTGCTAGTGCTTCCAAGCATAAGCACAAGTCACTATCTATCCAGGAAAAGGGTCAATTTCCATGGTCCGGCACCGGTCCGGTCCCGAGGTTGCCCGACTAGAGGTACGACATTTCGGTCCACAAACATGAAAAATATACAAAATATCTCACTTATTCAAAGTCCACATACATGCAACACATTTTCCAAATCCACAAACCAAAATAATTTCAAACTGCACAAATGACTATACTATAATCAAACAACAACAACAACAAGTCAAAACATTTTTCAAACTACAAATAACTTCAATCAATTACAAACAAACATATACAAGTCTACAAATATTCGAAGACGACCGATCCGCGGACGATTGACTTTCGTCGACGACGCCACATTTTTTACGACTCCGCGAACGAATCTACGACGACAAAAAATAACTCCGCGACTCCGGCCGTTCCGGTCGATTCCGACGACGCCAAACTCCCGACAAAATATTCCCGGTGCGCAATTGACACCCTTCAAATTAAAACCAATAACTATTCCACAATCAACAATTTCACAAGTCCACAACATTAACTTACACTCTTCAACTATTTCCCGATATATAACTGCCCAAACCCGACGCGACCGCGTATTCAAACTACAGACGGTACGTGCATTCTCGTCCTCGATGACAGTTACTTTCCAAATCTAAATAGAACTCCTCCTCTTCTTAACAACAACATTTAGTCAAATATCAACACAATATATCTAATTCACACTCACAACATATATATAACAACAAATAAATACAATCCAACATACACACAGCAGCAGTAATACAACCACAAATTCAATTGGTAACAACAAACATATACAGGAACACAAAAACAACCAACAAATGGGAGTAACAACAGGATCAAGAGCAATGGGAGGGTGAGAAACAACAAGGGAATCACAATCAAACAGAGGAGGAGAAGGAACAGACGGAGAACAAGCCAAAGAATAAACAAGGAAACGAGGAAGACATATGGCGAAGAGGAGGAGTAAAAGAAGGAAACAGGAAGAAGAAGAGGACGGACAGAAGCAGGTAGGGGGGAGAAAAACGAAGGGAGTTGCAATGAAACGGAGGGAAAAGAAGCCGCACGACAAACACGTCAAAAAAGGAGGAGGAGGACGGGGAGGCAGAGGGAAAAGACAAAAAAAGGAAGGGCTCACAAATTAAACATTGTGCTCGTATTCCTTCCCCTACTCGTCCAACAAATTTTATTATTATACAAACGCCTTCACAATAAACACCTTAACACGAGTGGAGCAACACGGAGTACAGGTGAACGAGTATAAATTCATGCCAAAAATATATTACTGCTGCATTACGTATTTCCTTACCGGTAGATGTCGCGGTCTCAAAATAGGTACCCACGCGCACTCCACGACTGCCCGCTCTCAAACGCACTGCCACAATTACGTAAAACTAATACACCTGTCGAACCTTCCCGCCATTTCAAACACGCGACTCTTAGTTAAATCTACTTCCAAATCATTCTTTACGCATCTCGCGGGTATACTTTCGTTTGTGCGCCGCCTCGTCTCCGTCCGTTCTCCGTCGGTCCTCTTTCCCGTCCCGTAAACGGACCCCGATCGACCGTCGTCCGTATCCGCACGCGCCCGCCGCTTTACGTACGACCCTTTCCTAAACCGCCATTTACTAAATTCGTCGTCGTCCGTCCCACGTCGAAAGGTTATTGCGATCGTCGCTTCCGCCAATTCCTCTACCGCGCGACTTCTTTACAATCCCCGTCGCATCCGTTTCTCACAATTACGCCGACTCGGCACTGACGAGTCAATTCCTTTAATACCCTACAAAATATATCATTCGTTGTCCCCCCCCCACCACCATCCTTATCACCTTTTACTTTATATCTTCACTAATATATAACTACTCTCTCTGTCCTAAAAAACCCACCAAATAGTCATCATTTCTCCATTCTTATCGGTTACCACAACAACACCATCTATGTCGGTCCGATCTCCCCCGTTCTTTTACTTTCAAAAGGCGCACTTCCCCGCCGCCGCCGCCGCCGCGTTCTCTCGTATTTATGCTGCCGTTATTTACGGATGCGTCCCGCCACAAATGACGTGCGCGCCGCATTCCGTGACGTTCTACGATCGTAATCATCTCCCCAAATTAGTGCAAACACCTAGTGATCACAGGCAACATCTTCAATAAATTCATTCTCGACATGTATCGACTTCCTCCGTCTTCGCAGAGTCGGTCTCTAAAAACAATACTACAAACATTATAACAATCGTTACAAACAACACGTACATTCATTTTACACGTTAAATCGTCTTTAAAACAATCGCGCCGGCCCGACATTGATGCGTGTCTCCTTCTGCGTTGACGAGTGTCTTCCCGCACTCGGGAGTGTGGCGTTCTTCCCGTGTTCCGGAGCATCTTCCTCGCGCGTCGACCGGTGTCTTCGTCCGCAGTCGACGAGCGTCTTCGTCCTCGGTTCCCGAATGTCTTCGTCCGGACCGCTCTCGTGCGCCGACTGTACGAGCCGTCTCCGACTCGTATCGGCGCGCTCCTCCGCAACTGAAACGGACAAATTACTGTCAAAATATATCGACAATTATCTACTATTACAAATTCTACTAATTCCCAAACAAACTTCATCTAACTTCATTCTTTCTACAGTATACCTATACACAAACATATCTACACACTATTGCCAACTAAAACACACAGGCATACTCGACTACCCCACAATTACGTCCCGCACAAATTACTCCTCCCGCTCGTGCCGTACGCGGGCGCCGACGTCGCGCTCTGCCGTATCTCCGTAAATACCCGCGACCCCGTCGCCTAATACAAAATCAAACTCGACGCTCCTCCACCCGTCGGTACGGTGTGCTCGTCGCCACCTCCCATACTTAACGATTATCAAAAAACATACAATATACCTATACATAACATAATATTAATTGTACATATTCGTACCATTCCCAAGAACTCGAGAAATCTATAAGACGATTGGGAAAGTCCACTCGATCCGGACCGAATGTACGTCGTGCTCTCGAGATCGTACCATTTACGTCTGTGAACGTCTAGCGAACGTAACTTCCGCGACGACGGAGATCCGGTACGAGGATAAACGTGTTGGCGGTGAACCAAAAACTATACGGCGAGTTCTGCTATAACGCGTGTTTTGACGACGCGATTTATGAATTGAGGAACGATATTTGTAAAACGCGAACTCGTTTCCTCCGACGCGATTCCACTCGAACGATTGTTATGGCTTCGGTTCACGTTCGACATCGCGTGTTCAATTGAGTCGTGTGTTTTGTTTGTGAACAATTGCAGAAATAATGTATGTAATATTTATGTATACAGTATACCTATATATTATAAGTCAATTGTAAAATTTTAAATAAAAGAGACAATCAAATTACATAGCGTTTTACACCGGCGCTCTCTTTACATCACACAGTGTTTACGGTTCACGTTCGACTTCGCATATTCAATTGATTTATGTGTTTTGTTTGTGAAGAATTGCACAAATAATTTATGTAATATTTATGTATACAGTAAACCACTCACAAGGTCCTACAGTGACAACAAAGGGAAAGTGACCTCGACTGTGACCGTCTGTGCCTATTTTTAGCCGTCCTTGTGGTCGGTAATGCATATCGGTATATTTACTGATCATAATACTTATCTCCTATAAATAATTCATTTGAAATTTATTTTTGGGCAAAGAATATTCGGTAAATGACTGCGTTAATTCTTGAAACTACCCACATTGGTAAATTTAGGACATAAATGATGAACGGAAGTCACGTCACGGATTCGGAGTTTGGTCCTTAACGATCGCCATAAATGTACATTACCGGGTATAATGGTAGCCTCCCTTTTTCCAGAAAAAAGTATATAAATTAAAGAAAATACTTGCAGCATATTTAATATATTACAGTATATTATAAATAAATAAATCAACAAATAAATTCAAATTCCCTTATCATCCTGTGTTATAAACTCGAGTCCCCGAGCGAGTACACAAAAAGAAAACGCACGACCGACACATCCTCGAGTGGATAGAGAACGGACATCTCTACTGGGGGACTCGAACGTTTCTCGTGTTTTGTGGGCGCTGTAGCATAAGATGAATATGTAAATTGTAAAAATTTAAATAAAAGAGAAAAACAAAATAAGTAGCGTTTAAAGTGTACTTTACATTGTGGCTTGGCGCAGGGTTATGCAGTGTTTACAGTTCACGTTCGACATCGCAAGTTCAATTGATTTATGTGTTTTGTTTGTGAAGAATTGCACAAATAATTTATGTAATATTTATGTATACAGTATACCTCTACAGTATATGTAAAATTTTAAATAAGAGAAAAACAAAATACATAGCGTTTTAGACCCGCGCGCTCTGTTTACTCCACACTTTGTTTGAAACACGTGTGAAATTTTTAAGTGTCCTCGGTGATTACTGTTTCTCCAATTTTGTGACTATGGAAAAGAAGAATATCTCTGGGAAGCACTCTGGTGATCATAAAAGAAAGGCTATAACACTCGAAGAAAAGCTTGATGTTTCATGACTCCTCAACATCAATCTTCTCCCCCATCAAGTTATATTCAGATTTTTTCAAGGTCAAGTGTAACATTTACTGTATGATTTCAATATTAGATATCAATGTAACATTTATTTAGACTGTACTACGAAATTTTTGTCGATTTGGAGTAATCTGCACCTAACCCTATTTTCTCCATAAGCCCTGTCATTTCTATTACACGAATTTCTATAACACGATGTTTTACAAGAACACAACTATCGCATTATAGCAGAACTACCCGTACTCGAAAGGAAACGTCTCGTATGCATCCGCGTAAACTCGATACGCCTCGTCTCCTCGGGACGTGTACGGCGATGAGGATAATCTTACGTCTGCGTTCAAATGGTGCAATGTGTCTGAGGAGGATCCCTAATTACACTTTTAAGGGAAGTGCATATACCCACGCCACGAACTTTCGGCTTCTGTTCCGAGGGATCGTCCCGTGTACCCGCCTCCGGCGTGCCGCGTTCCTATTATGACCCGCAATGTGCATACAATAACGCCTACTTGCAATACAGTATAAAACATAGGACATAAATACATATACCTCATCCTCCATTACAAGCTACTACATTCTTAACCCTTACACCCAGGTGACGTCCATCTGGTCTCCCCTTTGTGGAGGAGGGGGTGGGGAGAATTCATCTTGTTTCTCGATTTATCCCAATAGGAAGGGAGGGGGAAGTGCCAGCAGCACCCTAACCCTTGGCTTAAACTCCCATTTTTTAATAATACTTTTCATATTGTATCCAACACTTTTAGACCAGATATGACACCTTCAATTCTATATCTCTATGCTAAATTAAGTACTCTCATTATAACACTTGTAATGTCCGTCCCTCTACGCATTTTCGATGGCACCCGAGTCTCGTCGTCGGTCGCATTTTCATTTCTCCCTCGTTATCTTTACGTTCTACTACTCTTTTACTCGTAAATTCCCGTCTTATTTCCTCTCGGTAACCGGTCAAAACTTCCTTCGATATTTCGTCGACGACGCGCCGCTTAATAAATTCTCGTCTCCCTTAAAAACCTTCCACTTACTCTACGCAATTCCTACGGAGACGCCGAGGCACGCCACATACGCATTCCTATTCTTCAGAGAACCATTAAGTAAATACCGTACACTGCGATATAAACATTACAATACGGCGTCGTCCGACATTCTCACCCGCGGTTCGAGCGGCGTCCTCGGCCGGGGTCCGTCGAGTCGCCGGTCCGCACAAAAATGACGTTTCTGACTCCCGTCGGGTGACTGCAAATGAAAAATTAAGGTTAAAAAATATACATAGTCAATTAGGCATGCAAATTATACATGAACCCTTGACACCTAACCCAAATATCTGAGTACATTCTCTAAAGACCTGGATACATTTGCCAAACATACACTTTCCATTGGAAAATCTTACATACTTAGGCAGCCACCAAACGGGGAGATACCACCTCCGCAGACAATATTGGAAGCGTAATGTGTCGTCCGTGGTAGATCTTCCTGCTACGTGGCATCCCTAAAATTGTGACCGAGTCCCGGGTCGCTCGTCTGACTCTCTGTCTCGATTGTTTCTCTTACAACACAACATAAATCTATTGTTCCTCACTTTTGATTTTTTTTTCCATTTTGTATTTCTTTAAGGTTCTTCAGTATTATTGTTACATATAAACTAGGTTACCCCATATTTATGGCAATATGTTTTATTTTACTTGTGCAATAATGCGCCACTTTGAATGCGCACGCGTGTTTTGGTTTCGTTTTTACGGACGGTCCCGAAAATATACCGGAGAGAGCGTCGTCGTTTGTGTCGTCGTCTGAGCCTCTCGCATCATATTTCGTTGATATCCACCAAAAATGAACACTGTAACTTCAACAATTATTATTATTATTACATTTTCGCCCCGATGTGGGTCGGTGACCCGTGCCCGGGTGGGCTAATTCCCATAAAAAAAATACGTATTATTTATTTACTTTGCACTTTTATACGTACGAGTGTCGACGAAATTAATCTGCCGTTATTTACGCGATCTCATTTCTTGCGCACTTTCGACGGTTCGACGCGTGCCCTCGTTCTACTCCGGATGCACGTCAAATACCCGACGACGACGACGACGACCCCTCCGGGAACGTCGTAGCGTCGACCTCCGGCGCGCCCCGCGACGAGAAGACCGCTCCGGAATTTCGACGAGACGTCACGTCGAACGGCGTTCCGGACTATACCCTCGACGATGACTGCGAGTGGCCTCGGACCAAACCCCACGCCTCCCGAGACACGGTCGAGTGAGGCTTCGGTCTCCGTGCTCGCCGATCGCCGCAATATAATACCAATTAAAACACTGCACTGTATGGCAAGTCTACCCTACAATGAATCCCCAAATCTGCTGTACCAAACATTCACTTGCCTAAAACGGTTAGCACAGACACATCCACCCAGGCAAAAGAGGGGACTTCAATCGACTACTCTTGTTACGGCGGAGGAGCCGCGCGCTCGGTCCGTGGGCGTCAAACCCGAGCGTTCCTTTAATCGCGGGCTGTGGTTCCGCCGGAAGATGCCGTTCCTTAGTTTCTGCAACGTGAAAGCCCGTCCTCCCAATTTCTCGCACGGCAACCGCCGGACGCGACCGCCTGCCGATGCCCTCTGGGTCCCACGCCACCCAAACAAACCCACCTAACTTTAGTAAATGGAAACGTACGTGCCCGAGAGTGGCGTACGAGTATTCTACGCGTGTCGCCGCATTATTCTCCCGCCGAATGCATTCGCCGCTGCGCATTTCGATGCGTTTTCCATTGAAGGACTAGGGTGTGGTTAGCAAATTATTTGTTCCTCTAATTGACATATATACAACTTATAAACCCTTCTTCACACTCACAATTTATAATTATAGTCACATATTTTATAGCAAACTCCAATAAACTTATCTAATATTTATCCCATTAATATCAACACTAATAACTGGTCACTTCGACTAAGTGTGTGTAGTGTAATTGTAATCACACAAAATGGTACATTATTAATAAGGTGACCATCATATACTATAAAACTTATTAAATAAAACACAAAAAAGGAACGACAGGTGCTAGGAGAGAAAGGTGGTATGTGGAGGGAAGGGATAGAGGGGTGGAAGGGAAGGATAATAGATAAGGAAAGGAAGAATGGTACGTGAAGAAAGGGAGGGGGGACAGATGGTGGGATAGAGGGGTGGAAGGGAAAGATAATAGATGAGGAAAGGAAGAGTGGTAAGTGGAGGGAGGGATACATTTAGCTGGAGGTAGAGGGAACAAGGGGTGGTATAGTCGTCAAACTATCCGTTAATCTTTAACGTCGTGTACTCGGAGCTTCCGTCTTCTCGAGTGCCGGAGCGGGTCGCCGCAGTTGTTTTGGGGGTCGACCGCCGGGCAAGTTTTAGCATTCTTACTCAATGAAATACTGTACATTACAAATACACGTATAATATGACCTTAAGCTAAAATAACCGTTGACTGAGCTTTAGTTATCCTTAAAATAGCATCCATAAAAATAGAAAAACACGTAGGTTATTCTCGACGATCGTCTCGCGTCGGAGAGCGGCACTCGCCGACCCGTCTCCGGAGCGACGATCTACGGTCGTTCTTCGTGTCCTTCTCCCGGATCGCGCTTCCGCTGCCCGAGGCGACTTCTTCTGTGGGTTAAGTTTGTGATGTGAATGCTGCCTGCATTTAATAATTATACTGCACTACATCTATACAACCATTGCATAGGGTATTATAAATCAATCATAATGCCCTCGTAAAATATCGTGTTGATCATTTTTAATTTGTGTCGTGTACCGGTAAGCAGAGTGTCGAGTGGCCGGAGGTGTGTCCCGGGCCGACGGCGAGACGATACCCTACGTGATGGAACTAATCTACGATCGTAACTAGTCTATTGCTAGAAAATGCAATATACTGCACGCGAGACTACGTAAACGAGTACTTCTCGCAAACGACGACGGACCGTACGACTGCGCAATACGGGCCGAATCTCGAGCGGGCCCGCATCCGCGGACGGACCGCCCTCGGCGTGCCCGTCGACGGACACGCGCGCGACAAAAATCGCCACGACTATTTACTAAACGAAGAAACGGGACGTCGACGACCCGACGGCATTGTCGAATATTACGTCGTCGACGCGTTTACGTAAAATTGTTACCGGTCCCGCGTACGCGTCGGTGACGCGAGGCGCATTCCTAGAGAGCTAATAGCTTTAAACCAAATTTGGACTCAATTAAAGTGGTTTCAATGGAACAATTTACTTTGGTACTCGAGACTAACACAAAATACTAAAAAGACCCAATATACCCAAATGCACCTCGGCCCATCTCCTACAAAACATCGTTTTTGTAGTATCGCGTTAAAACGGACGCTCGTAAATCGACGCGGCTAAAATTACGAGACGCGAAATGGCCCGTTTACTCGTGATCGGATTCGCGGCAAGATGGGGAGGAGGGTTATCGGTTTGACAGTTGATGCCAAGGTCTAGAGCTTATTTATTTATCTGTCCTTAACAGTGACTTTCAGGTTTTCTCTTATGAAATATCACTAAACTGACTTGGAAGAATATAATTAACATTGCTGGAATTCTTATAAAATTGTGATTACTTTGAATATAAACATGCTATAGTTCACATACAAATTTTAGTTGTAACTAATTTTATTACAAAGGGCTACAAATTTTTATCTCTTGTGCAAAATATACAACGTTTATGTTAAAATTATTAGCCGTCTTGTAACGATTTTAGCAATGCAAATTAAATTCTAACTTTTGTCTGTGATATTACTTAAGATAAAGCCCGGCGACACCGACGGTTGGCGCCCGGGTCTGTGGCGCATTTTTTCCCGGCCGGGAAATGACCCGGGTGAATATAATTAACATTCTTGGGATTCTTGTAACATACTGATTAATTTGTATATAAACATGCTATAATTTCCACTAGACATAACAATTTTAGTACCCAAATCAAATTAGTACAACAAAACTCCAGCTTTGCACTAAGGTCAATTATTTCTTTTAGTATGCTGTGTGCATGAAAATAAATGAAGAAATTGATGTAAATCTACCCAAAAATACAGTTCAAAAACTTTATATTATAAAATGTACTACAGTACTGTACACTAACGTACAACAATTTTTATCTCTCGAGCAAAATATATGACGTTAACATTCAAATTATTGGCTGTCTTGCAAGGATTCCAGCAATGCAAATTATAATCTCCTAACTTTAGTCTGAAATATTATGTAAGATAAAAACTGTAAGCCTAAAACCCTGGCTCAACAGATGGGGGAGAGAGTTAAGAGGAGATGTTTGACAGTTTGAGCCGAAGGTCTCTGTGAGTTTATTTAACAGTCCTACTAAGCTTCTCTCATTTTAAAATGCCAGTGAAATGACCTGGTACAATATAATTAACATTGCTGGGATTCTTGTAACATACTGATTAATTTGAATATAAACATGCTGTAATTTGCACCGGACATAACAATTTTTGTACCGTAATCAAATTAGTACAACAATGCTCCGGCTTTGCACCGAGGTCGTTTATTTCTTTTACGTTTCTTTTATTGTGGTGTCTGCATGTAAATGGATGAAAATAAATGAAGAAATTGATATAAATCTACCCAAAAATACAGTTGAAAAACTTTATATTATAAAATGTACTACAATTTTTATATCTTCAACAAAATACAGTATATATATAATGTTTATATTCAAATTATTGGCTGTCTTGCAAGGATTCCAGCTATGCAAATTGTAATCCCCTAACTTTAGTCTGAGATATTATATAAAATAAACACCTTAAAGCATAAAGTTATCACCAATGTTTTGTCTGGGAACACAAGGAGGGAGGTAGCCAGCGAGCAGGGGGGGGAAGTGAGGTGACAATGTCTTTATTTATTTGAGATAAGATTTGACAGTTGGCGCTGAAGGCCCGAGTGTTTATTTATCATTACTTAAGAGTGACTAAGCTCTTCTCATAATTTGCCACCCAAACGACCTGGGTGAATATAACTTGTAAGATAGTATTTGAATATCTGTGTAAACAATCTATATTTGCCATAGACATAACAATTTAAGTACCGTAATCGTTTAGTACACGTACAGTAAGGGTTTGCACTCGGGTCCATTGTTAACCGAGGGACCGCTGTAATTGCAGTATACTTATACTGTACAATATTGACTAAATTCACTAGATAACGTACATCACTAATGGTCGGTAAAACTTGTCAAGTCTCTCGGTATGAGTGGCACGTGTTAGTGCTCGAGTCTCCCGTCGTGGAAGTCCGTTTTCTCTCCCTTCGGGATGCCCGAGTCCATTTTCTCTTAATCTTAGAGTGCAGTGCACCAGAGACTTCGTTATTCCTCAGTAATGACACAGAATTTCAAATTGCAACCCCAATTGCAACTAGGGTTGCAATTGTTGAGGCAACTAGATATGTCCGATTACAGCAAATGTGTTATTGTCAATTTGTAGGTGAAAGATTTTATCCTCAATAGATGTAGGTTAACATTACACCTGGAGGAAAATGCTTACTAAAGCCTAAGGAATGATATTCCTTTAACACATAACATCTAGCCAGTACGGGAAGGATCGTCGTGTCTCCATCAGGGGGGTCTTGGAGTGGTGGTCCAGCAGGCATCACGGAAGTGTTTTTTCGAGGGGGGGCACGGACGTACGGTCGGCCTTTCACATACGCGGGTTTAGCATTCACGGATTCGCAAATACGCGGATTGCCCCGCCAGAGGAATATTCTGTACATTGAAGTAATTGAAGTACAGTCGGCCCTTAACATTCGCGGGGGTTAGGTAACAGAGATACCCGTGAATGTTAAAAATCCGTGTACTATTGCTACCCCCCCCCAAAAAACAATCCCTGGCCCCCCCATGTCCTTATTTACCGTATATACCTGTGTGTAGTTCGAGTTTTTAAGACAAAATTATTTGGCAAAAATTGGGGGTCGACCTCTTAACGGGTAATAGTTTCGTTAGGTTGAAAAATATTTACCAGTAACTACCAGAAAACAATGGAAACGATGCACCAACACACCACCAGCTGTGAGTGTCGGTACAGTTGCCAGGGCAGATCTCTTGCGAGCCCAAAGTAGCCAAATCCATGGTATGGTAGCACAGGACGATGTAAAACAAAGTATTCATTCATTAAAGTTAACTCGTAGATACTGGACATAAATTTTTGTTCATTACATTTCAAGCATCAATCTTTGTTAATTAAATTTGAAACAAGAAAAAACTACGATACTGGATTTTCATTAAAATATTACATCACAAGTATATTTTACCTTAACCGTGACTGAATGAATATATTCTCGGAAATAAATATGGAAATGTAATATTTTTGCTGGAATGACGTACATATTATAGTGGGAAGTGGGATAAAATCATGACGAAACACTTTCGCTTTCTTTCGTTGTTCAAAATATTTTACCGTAATCGCTTTTCGAATGGTTTTCAGTTAAAAAACTGTTGCATCACAAGTGAATTAGGATAGAATATTATTGTAATACAACAGTTTTTTAACTGAAAACCATTCGAAAAGCGATTACGGTAACATCTTTTGAACGAAAGAAAGCGAAAGTCATTGTTTTCGTCACGATTTTGTCCCACATTCCACTGTAATACTTACGTCATTTCAGCAAAAATATTTCATTTCTGTAACCGAAAACTATTAAAAAAACGAAGGTTAGGTGAAGTCTTTTGTTTTCGTCATGTATTTTATCCTATTTTACATTGAAATACATCACGTTTCAGCAAAATTACTATTTATTTCCAAGAATATATTCATTCGGGCGCAGTTTAGGTAAAATATACGTGTGATGTAACAGTTTTTTAATTGAAAACGATTCGAAAAACACGTACCCTCTAGCCCCGTTCAAGGAGAGGACTGGGAGAAGCTGTGTGGTGCTGCAGACGATGGCAAGGAAAATGATTTGGATTGATTTTAATGAAAATATTCAGAAATATGGTATCGTAGTATTTATTCAAGTCAATTAGGATAGAATATTATTGTAATACAACAGTAGTGACGATGTGGAGGAGGCGGAGGGATAGAGCGGGGAGGAGTGGTGACTGGCGGGAGCAGGGACGAGTGGAGATGCCAGCCAGTACATTACGGGTGTATTAATTGTTTTTATAGCTATTTTTGCATTTTAATGTTAAATACTGTACATTACCTTTCAACAAAACTACCATTTATTTCTGAGAAGATGGAAATGTAATATTTTTGCTGAAATGATGTACGTATTACAGTGGAAAGTGACGAAAGCAATGACTTTCGCTTTCTTTCGTTCAAAAGATGTTACCGTAATCGCTTTTCGAATGGTTTTCAGTTGTGGGATTATAAGGCTAATGATAGGATAGAATATTATTGTAATACAGTACGAGTACAACAGTTTTTTAACTGAAAACCATTCGAAAAGCGATTACGGTAAAATATTTTGAACAACGAAAGAAAGCGAAAGTCTTTCCTCATGATTTTATCCCACTTCCCACTATAATATGTACGTCATTCCAGCAAAAATATTACATTTCCATATTTATTTCCGAGAATATATTCATTCAGTCACAGTTAAGGTAAAATATACTTGTGATGTAATATTTTAATGAAAATCCAGTATCGTAGTTTTCTCTTGTTTCAAATTTAATTAACAAAGATTGATGTTTCAAATGTAATGAACAAACATTTATGTCCAGTATCTATAAATTAACTTTAATAAATGAATACTTTGTTTTACATCGTCCTGTGCTACCATACCATGGATTTGGCTACTTTGGGCTCGCAACAGATCTGCCCTGGCAACTGTACCGACACTCACAGCGGGTGGTGTGTTGGTGCATCGTTTCCATTGTTTACTGGTAAATATTTTTCAACCTAACGAAACTATTACCCGTTTAGAGGTCGACCCCCAATTTTTGCCAAATAATTTGGTCTTAAAAACTCAAACTACACACAGGTATATACGGTAAATAAGGACATGGGGGGCCAGGGATTTTTTAGGGGGGGGGGGGTAGCAATAGTACACGGATTTTTAACATTCACGGGTATCTCTGTTACCTAACCCCAGCGAATGTTAAGGGCCGACTGTATATGCTATCGGATGTTAACCGGCGCACGACTGTATGTGTTTTTGAAAGATGCAAATCCTCCGAGGATTCGCATCGCACGTAGCGCGAATTTGGATTGCGTGTCGTAAACGGACGCCGAGCCGGTCATTACCGGGATCGTACGTCAAATGAACCGAGGAATTATCGGAAAGACACAACGGGGAGAGAGGCGCTATTATTAGCCTTCGCGACGAGGGTACGCGCAACGCTCGAATAACTCGGCACAATGGGGCGAGCGAACCCTCGGGCATCGCGATGGGTTACCCGCCGCTAAACGACGGGCGACGCGCCGATTAAAATCCTATTTTGACGTTAAACCGACGCCATTTACGTATCGATAATATTTGGCAGATCCCATTTAGACCAATATATTGTATATTGCTGTACCTGTTCACTCTAATATCAACTACTATTTGCTCCGTCACTCCTCAAAAATCAGACGTGTCGTCGACGACTACATTGTGCATCTCGGTACGAATAAAACCGTCGCTACGACGCGGTGGCGAAACGTATGCCCCGAGGTCCGTCTCGGTCTAGCTCGTGACGTTCCAAAACTCTTCCGTTTAATGTATATTCCGATATTATTGTAATCCTCGGTCGGGGCCTCGCTTCTAACCGGCACGATACATACATTAATATAGCTCAATGAATTTCTTGTTATAGTAAAGCATATACCGTACGGTCGTATGTCACACGAGGACGACTCCCTCGCTACCCGCCGTCTACGGCTATTGCTCATATAGTGACCGGATGTACCTGTACCAACTTATGCTGATGCACTGGGGATCACAGCAAAGTATTTCATCTAGAGTTTCAAATTTTACCGCTAGAAAATTCAATCGATACTTTTTGGGGGACCGTACATAATTTGGGGGGAACTGTTTTCGTTGTAGAAAAGTATCTTGGCTTTTATAATGTGAGTCTAATGTGATTCGATTTACCATAGGTTTTTATAAGACACAGTACTCTTATAAACTGGGGAATGCCTGTACAACTTTCCTAACATTCAAAGTACCACAACAATATTAAATACAATACCACAGACTATTTGAGGTCCAGTAAACTTTATGTCCAGCCAACTTCATTCTAGTTCACATCAGGTCCACTGTAGGCAGTGTTGGAGAAAGTGCCTGAAAATATTACTTAAGATAAAGTACTGCACTGTTGATATGTAAAAATTTAAACTATGTCCTGTAGTCTTCTTCAAAACTATGCAAATAAAAGTTTACTCAACTCAACTGATTCATATAAGTAGAAAAAAGTATTTAGAGTACCACAGCATTTATAGAGTATCATAATTAATAAACAATGACATTATGTTTTGAAAACGAAAGTTAAAGTTATTAATATACTGTACTGTACTTTAAAGAACCACGAAATAAACACACATTCAAAATTGGGTATGGGATGAAAAACGTGAATCTGGGCCATATTTTGGAAGTGTCGCGTACCGCCGACGCCAATGGGACGCGACCTTACGCACAAACATTTACATAAATGCCCACTTTTATAGGATTACTGTACAAGTGTACTGAAATACAAGTACAGGTTGTACCTCTCCGGTCCGGCAACCACGGGACCCGACCGGTGCCGGACGCCGGAAATTTCCCGACCGTGGAAATTCGCCCTCTTCCTGGACAGATAGTGACTTCTGTTTACACTTGGAAGCACTAGCACCACTTTCTCTGCTTCGTGGTCTCTTTGAAGACATATTGAAGGGTTAAATGTCGTACAGTACCTTCTCAAATTTCGCGAGTTTTTAATTCGACGTTTTCTATTTGAACGCACAAAAAAAGCCGACACATTTAAAACTTTTGACGGCGGAAACTCAAATTTCGACGGGTTTGAATGGCCCGCCGACGTTCGGACGACGTGCACGATCGTGTAAACGGCGTTATTTCTCTTATGTACGAAAGATTCGTTATTATTTATTACTGAAAGTCTTTTGGATTGAATTAATGTTAGTGTGTGCAAAATGAGCAATACAATTCATTAATAATACGCTCAATATTAAAACGCGAGGAAATGAGACGGCACCGTTTTCGTCGATTACAAAAACGGTGACCGACTGGTTCTACGTATAAAACTGAAGAAAATAAGACCCCGGTTGTAGCTGTAGAAAAATTAATATGGTTCTTTTAAGTAATGTTAATACATGGAACAATAGAAGTAGCTAACGATAATGGTAAAGAAAAACAGAGATCGCGTATGCGAGTGCGCACGCGTGAAAACGTATCGTCATTACTTTACGTAAGAATGTGAAAGCAACACTTATTTACTGTTCATATATATTTTAATTAATGTTTCTGAATTTGTTTTTATTGAATTAATGTTTGTGTGTGCAAAATTAACAATACAATTTATTACTAATACGTGTAATATTAAAACGCGCGACGAGACGAGACGGCTGCCGGCATTGTTTTTGTTAAAGCTTACAAAACCGGTGACAGATTGGTTCTACATATAAAACTGAAGAAAATAAGACCCTGATTGTAGCTGTAGTAAAATTAATGTAAAAAAATTAATATGCTTGTTTGAAGTAATGTTATTTAATGTTAATAAATGGAACAATATAAGTAGCTAACCATCAATGGTAAAAAAAAAAGTGAAACTGAGCGTATGTAAGTGCGCACACGTGAAAACATGTCGTCGTTACTCTACTTAAGAATATGAAAGCAACACTTATTTACTGCTAGAATATATATTGAAGGGTTAAATGTTATGCTCTGTATAGACAAGCACAGAGAGAGAGCTGCCGGATGTAAACAAACCTTAATTTCCCCCGGCTTTGTCGTCGTTGTTTTTTTACGGGGATTAGCCCACCCGGGCATAGGTCACTGACCCACATTGGGGCCTGAGGGGCAAAAATTTAATACTCCTGTAATAATAATAATAATAATAATAATAATAATCAAGATTAAAAAAAAAAAAAAGCTGCCTATCTACCTATTGGACAAACTAAAATCGTTCCGGATCACAGAATGCCGGACTAGAGAGGTACAACCTGTACTCTAATACACTCGGCTCGTACGCCCAATGACACGACGTGAAGTGACGACGTCGGTATTACCTCCCAGCGGCGTTTCTCCGTTTGCCGTTAACGGCGTCGTGTGCGAGACCGGACGGGTCTGTACGGTCGAGTCTCGACTTGTCGTACCGAGATGTGTTGTTGGTCCTTGAAGCTTCCTGGAAATGTGACCAATAGCTATATAATACACAACACTGTAAAACTATTATATTATAGGCAGGGATTATTTGACCGGTACTCGGCACAATAACCGCCGCTTATTTGACAGAGATCTAAAATAAAACTAAATCCTTTTGTCAACAGAAATTATACAATTAAATAATACCATAATGTAATGACTTGTTTAATGCCCCCAACCATCCCGACTACAATCCTATACGATCCCCGCAGGTCCCGGTCAAATGGCCGACGGTTATTTGGCCCAGAATCGTGGTCAAATAACATCTTCGTACACTTATAATAAAGGCACTTGTTTGTTTAGTACCACGTGGAGAAACTGATTACTCAAATAGGTTAGGTTAGGTTGAAATAATCTTGTTCCAATGGTTTTTGATGTATTTTCAACTTTTATGACCTTCGGAAAATAGCTGCACGGCCAAAACGATAGTTTTACAAGTTTTTATTTGGATTTTTTCTAATAAATAAATATGATCTTAATTTCCTTACACTAACAAAAACAATGAATCTTCCAAAGTGAGTTAGACTTTCAACATGAAGGGTTAAAAAAACAACATTGAAAACCCTACCTAACCTAATCTAAACTACCTAACTTCTTGCGATGGACCAACAAAAACCGAATCGGCATACCCGGTTTCGTACGCGTCCAATAGTGTTTACATTTCGTGGACGCGACCGACGTAGAACGAAACTGCGACGATCTCGACGGATTCTTATCGTGCTGCCGGGAGAGAGGCACAATTTTGCGGGATTTATTATTTAAATCTCTCTGCTGTGACCAATCAGAGGACAGTGCAAATTTATTATGATATTTACACAGGAGCAAAAACTTTTTTTCTAGATATATTTAAGCCTCCTTCGTGACCTAAACGTTGAAGACGAGAACCGACTCACAGACAAAACATTAAAACACAAAAACAAAACATTAAAGAAATAACTTTTTCTGTTATCATTAGTTAAATACAGCTACTCCTCGACTTACGACCTACTCGACATACGACGGAGCGGCCATTTTTTTGGTCCGGTAAACACAGCTGTGAGCGCTAGCTCCCAAATTTGGGATGTTTTCGAGCTTATTACATTAACTGAAGGATATATAGACTTACCTACTTGTGTATAAGGACCCGAGGATAAGATAAGTATCGTCAAGCAACTTTAGTGTTGGGAACTTACTGTTTACCTTACAAAAATAACTGCTCGGGGTCCCATCACTCCTGGCTGGGTGTTGTGGGATGTCAACATTGCCCCACGGAAAGTGAATTTTCGCTTAAGAACTCTACATGGAAGAGTAAAGAAAAGATAGTATTGGACGAAGTTCTTGAAGACCTTGAGTTGAGTAGTGATGAGTCTAATACGAGTGATGAAGCACAAGGGAAGTTCGAAAGTGAGAAAATACAGCTACAACAAGAGGTAGTGAATAAGAAAGAAAATTCTAAAACAATGAGGGAGACAAGCTGGCATGAGGACAGTGAAAGCAAAGAAGTGAGAGAGGAGAAGAGACAAAATCATCTAGGACAAAAAACGTGTGTGGGTGGTAATAATAATGGAAATAACAGAAAGGAGATAGTGGAGAATGGATCAAGAACAGAGCAAAGTATGGAATTTGAAGGAAGCAGACAAGAACACACACAAGGTGAAGTTGGTCGTGTCAGGAAGAGATTAATTTTTCCAGTCATGCCCGATGACCTTCCTTGAAAAATTAAAATGGGCAGTACAACTAGGACGGGAGCATCGCAGCTTTGAGCCTCTTTTGAAAGAAGGCACACACAAGCCTTATCTTACAGGCTGTGGAAATGTTGACAACTGTTGGGTACAAGGGATTACTGATGGTTTTGCCAGAGGAGAGCGACATACTACTTACAAAGGTTATAATCTTCAGGTACCCTGTAATACTAGACCCAGAATACTTATTGGATGACGAAAGATTTGTTTGGGTCAAGAGGCATTTAATAAGGGGCGAAGAGAGAAGCCAGGTTATTGCTCTAATGAGAGGAAAGGTTCCAGAGAAAGTGTTCATCACAGGAGCAGGGTATAGGAAGGTGGCACTATATGTGGGGGGACCAATAATGTGTCTCAAGTGTTGCAGATGGGGACATAAGGCCTGGAGCTGTCAACTGGACCCACGTTGTAGATTCTGTGGGAAGAGGCACGAATCTAGCAACTGTAAGGACAAGATCAAAGCAGGAGAGAAAGTGAAGCCTTGTTGTTGTTGTAAGTGTGGTAAAACTCTCAATGCTAGTTCAATTGCATGCGAGATGAGGCCACGTATGAGAAGTGACCAACAAAGGAATTATTCAGAGAACACCGAGGAAGTACGCTGTGGTCTGACAGTGACAAGACAGCAGGAGAACACACAGACAGTGATTCCTGAGAATGCCTGGCATGAAGATTCAAGAAGGATAAGGACTGCGCTTGCGGCCGGAAGCGTTGTTGATGCCAGAAACAAACAGAGTAATAAACAAGTAGCAAGTGAGAGTAGTGGTGCAGCCCTCCAGGTTAGTGATAAAACTGTGCAAGAAATTCTGGGAGAAGAGGTGCTTAAGATGTTTCAGCTTTTGCAAAAGTTAGGTCAGAAAATAGAAGTGATAGAGAAAAGACTTGATACAGTGATAAATAAAGAAAGGGAAAACAAAGCTGTGAATAATGTAGAATTAAAAGGGAAAGAGGAAAGTGAAGAGCTCAAGCCTTTGAAAAATTCAGTGCTTAAAATAAGTATTACAGGGAAGGAGAGGAAAATAAAGGATTGTGTAGCGCAGGGAGCAACAACTGAAAGTTTTAAAAAGGTGTTGGTAAAGTGTAAAGATGCTGATAAAGAAAAACTTTTGAGGAAATGGGAATCTGTGCAGGAGGATTGGGCCTTCTTAAAGAATCTGATTGGAAAGGATATAAAATGTGTAAATATTAATCCTGGATCTAGCTAGCCTTAAGACGTCTTTAAGGTGGCGAGATGAGAATCCCAGGGCGAGATTCCTTGGCAGACGCCACGGCCCACCGCCACAGTCAACTTTTCCTGGGCCAGGCGCTCCGAGCTAGCGAGCGAGCCTGTAAACAACTCTGGCCTACTGACTCCGTCATATGATCATGGTCTACCCACTGTTCTTGGTTATATGTATGGAGCCGTATTAATATCCATGCTTAGGGATGACTAGCAGAAATATAGTCATCCCAGGTTAAGTATTGAACCACTGAATGAGAGTTCAAGGTACCAGGTTGTTCCTTGCAAACTAACAGGAGGTATTGTATGTTACTATAATTGTGGAGTTAGTCCAATGTGTTATGTATTCATCTGTAGTACCCATGAAAGAATAACCTGAGAGTATGAGGTTCTAACCACGAATTGAGAAGGTAATTTGTTCCTTGTTAAAGTAAGACCTGCGGGTCCAGGGTTATTGACAGTGTGTAAGCATTGCTAAATCTTACTTGTCACAGAAATACTACAACAGTATCCAATAAAGTAATGAATATTTGGAGGTGTTTAATGAGGTAATAAGTTCTTGAAGTGTTTGATGACTTAATAAGTTAATTTCGGTTCTGTTTAGCCTGAGTGAATCTAAGATGCATCTTCTCCACTCACTGTATTAATAAATATTGAGTTAGTAATCTGAGTATCACCACTCTACTCCTTCTAAACATTGGTTCCCAGAAAATAATACTTACTCACGTGCCTATACATCTACCACACTACCCAAAACCCTTCCATGAGTTCTGTTATATAATGAAAAGTCTGGGTGGTGGCAGCTACCCCTTGTAAGTATAAAAAGTGTTATACAAAGAATCACATGGTTCCCCAGACTAACCCATGTATAAGAAAGACATAAAACAAAGTATACTTCAGAAAGGTAAGAACATTGAAACTGAAAATACAATCTATATGAAAGGAAATGAAAAGAAAGAACCTTGACTTGGAAAACATAAGTGGAGAAGCATAAGAGTTACTTATATAAGAACATATAAGAATATAAGGTATATAGAGGTAAAGAACATATAAGAATAAATATATATGTAAAGAATGGAAGGAGAATAAGTATATTAAACAGGGTACTCATTGGAGGAATGCTACATAGAACAAATAAGTATATGAGTAAATAGAATACTAACAGAAAACAGTAGCTGGATGGTAAATTATTGAAAAGAGAAAACGCGGCCCGTTACAGGGACAGGAAAGGCGACCTGCTTAAACTATCTAGTAAAGGTATAAGAGGGGTCTCAACATACATTAAGAATTCCATACCAGCAGAACTAGTTGGAAACCCGAGTAGAGTACAAGGAATAGAAAGTGTCTGTATAAAGTTATATTTGAAGGAAGGAGAACTGAACATAGCAAATTTGTATATTTCTGGATGCTGTTTTGACCTCAACTTCTTACCAGATTGCATGTTTTTGGACTCAACTTTGGCTGTAAGAGATTTTAATGCTCGACATCCAAGACTCGAAACAATGGGGAGAATTAATAGAAATGGTATAAAATTTTGGCAATTTTTACAAGATCACCCAGATTCTTACTTGTTAGGAAATAAGGAAGTGACTCATATTAAAGGAGGAAGGTTAGACTATGCTTGCATGATAAGCAGTCAGGGAGTCCAGGGAGAATGTGAGATAATAAGGGAGCTAGTCAGTGACCATTTTGTTGTGTATGTTCAATTACCATTAGGGAAGAGACAGGTGAGATATAGGAGGAAGAAATTGAAACTAAACAAGGATGACACAGAAGTGTTTACCCAAAATATAGAGAAATGGTACAGAAATTATACACCAGTCTGTATGGATAGCTTTTATAATGACTTAGTTGGGGAGATAGAAATATATTTGACTAAGTCAACACAGAAAAAAATAAATGATAAGAGACATGGGGCTAGGAAACACTGCTATACCAATGACAAAATGTTGAAGGGATGGACACAAATGTTAAGGGCAGCACATAAAGATTGGGTAAAGAATGGTAGAAGAGAAGAAGATAGGGAAATCTTCATGGATATAGCCAAAATATGTGGGCAGGCTAGGAAGGAGGCAAGGGAGAAATATTGGCAAGATTTTGCACAGCACATTGGGGAGAGTAAAAATCTCAAAGAAATATGGCAGGATATTAACAAAATTAGAGGAAAAAGGAGTAATTTTATTAGCCATCCTCATCCAGAGGAAGAAGCTAATAAACTGGTTGACAAATGGGCTAAAGCTGCTAGTGTTGCCTCCCTGCCTAACAGGACAATAGAAGCATTAGATGAGTGGCAAAATGAAAGAAAAAGATTTATTTCATCAGCTCTAAATATTTGTGATGTAACATGTGTAGATATTACTCAAGATGCTGTTAAAAAAGGAAAATCTACAGCACCAGGCGAAGATGGTGTGACATATGAAATTTTGAACTGCTTAGTTGGTATGGAAAATAGTCCATTATTAGATTTATTCAACATGAGCTATGCAGAGGGTAGATTACCAACAGAATGGAAGAAAGCGATAGTTATTCCTTTCCCTAAGGCAACTGGTGGATACAGGCCAGTGTCTTTAACATCTTGTTTTTCCAAGATGATGGAGAGAGTATTATTAAATAGGCTTGTATATATTGTGGGGGAAAATCTATCTTGTAATTTATTTGTTTTTTGGAAGGGAAATGTACTTCAGACTGTGTTATAAAATGTTTATCAAATGATGCAGACAGATGTAGAGTTTTTGTGGATTTACAAGGAGCATTTGATAAAGCTCACAGTGAAGTAGTTATGAGTGAACTGGCTGCTCTAGGGGTATCAGGAAAGTTGTTACACTGGATAGGTGACTACTTGCATGGAAGGAGAATCTGTGTATGGTATCAGGGATGTTTGTCTGAGGAAAGAGCACTTGAACTAGGCACTCCCCAAGGGGGAGTATTGAGTCCAATGTTATTTAATGTGTTAATGAACAAGATAGCCTCACACAAATATCCCAAAGGAGTTGTAACCATCATTTATGCAGATGACATCTTATTTCAAGGAAACTCTGTAAAAAATTTGCAGATTGCATTAAATGATTTTAGTGTTCTTTCTCAAAAGATGGGCTTAGTTATGAATGAAGAAAAAACCAAGTGTGAATGTAAAGGAAGAGGAACTGAATCCGTTTTTCTAAATGGAAAAATTGTTGAGAAAGTGTCAAAGTATAAATATTTAGGAATGTATATTGGCTTTACTAGTGAAAGTAAAGAGGCAGAAATATATCATGTCCTCACTCAATGTAGAGCAAGATTACAGCCCTTGAAGGCTCTAGCATGTTGTGGTAAAGGTGCTGGGGTACCCATACTGAGAATGATGTGTATTTCTACCATCAGATCACTTATAGACTATGCAGCACCTGTCCTCTCTTGTACTGGTGAAGGAAGGCTACGGAAGCTTGAGATCATGCAAAATGAAGCAATGAGAATTATTTTAGGGTGTCAAAAGAATGCAATGATTGAGATAATGAAAATGGAACTAGGGTTACAGAGCATTTCACAGAGGGTCAATGAAATTAATACAGTTGCAGCAGTTCGATTAATGAGAGGGAACAGTGGGGGTAAATTTGTACAAGATATAAATGATGGTTTAAAAGATAAAAGGACCTTCTGCAGGCAAGGCAAGAGAGGATACATGAATGGATTAATAAATATTATTAAAAAATGTAATCTGGCAGACTGGTGTACAGCTGTTCAGAAGAGTTGTAAGAATCCACCCTGGGAAGAACGAGAAGTAGAGTTAGACATAGTGCCTCTCACAATGAAGAAATCATTACATGAACCAGGACAGTTATAAGGGCTTTATATGGGAATAAGATTAGTAATTTGCCTAAAATAAACACATTGCATGTTTTTTGTGACGGTTCAGTTATGTCAAGTGGCAGGGCAGGGTGCGGGATCCTTATAAGACAGCACACAGAACAAGGAAATGATGACATCAAAATTGGACTTTGGTTGAGAAGTTTTATTTCATCAACACAAGCTGAGTTATATGCAATGTTAGTAGGATTGGAAAATGTTGTAAAGAGGTATAAAGATGCATATTTTGTTGTTGATAGTAGGGCAGCTTTGGATTCTTTGAACAGTGGGAGTCCAGTCTTTGGACACATTATTGGTTCATGTAGAAAATTAGTAAATACAATACGGAAAAATGGCCATAATGTTCAATTTGTATGGGTCCCTTCACATGTGGGGATTGGTCTTAATGTTGTCAAATTATGTATTTTTGAATGCAGACATTAGTGATTGCGCTGTGTACCGACAACATTTTCATTTGTAATTCCCTTTAAAATGGCCGGCAAGCGTAAGATTGAGAGTTTCGTGGTGCCGAGAAGAAAATGAGACGCCCATCTATGTACAGTATTATTTTCCCATTTTCGACTTGCGACCCGGTCGCCGGTCCCTGACCCCGTCGTAAGTCGGGGACCGACTGTACCGTAATGTGCTGGGTATATACGGTATAGCTCTACTGTATATCATTATCTACAAGAGTTAAGTCGGACTCGCGAACGAGCCTCGGGAGCTCGACTCGTCTGTCGGTCGAAGAGCTCCTATACGGTATTGGCTTATAATCGACGAGTACGGTCACCCCAAAATAATATCTTTAGCCACGGGGTCGACGTGCTTCGAGGCTATTCGACCAATGTTACACGACCCGTTTCAGAACTGTTGCTAACTCTACGTCTACACCTCTGAGCACGAATGAGCATACGTATGTTTTTGAGAGATGCGAATCCTCCGAGGCTTCCGATCGCACGTCAAGCGAATTGAGATTGCGTGTCGTAAATGGACGCCGACGCCGTGCCGGTCATTAATGGGATCTTACGTCAAACGAACCGAGGAATTATCGGAAAGACGCAACGGGGCGAGCGAACCCGCGGTATCGCGATGGATCAGCCGCCACGAAAAGACCGGCGACGCGCCGATTTAAATTCTTATTGTGACGTTAAACCGACACTATTTACGAATCAATAATATTTGGCAGATCCCAATTAGACCGATATACTGTATATTGCTGTAGCTGTTCACTCTAATATCAACTACTATTTCCTTGGTCACCTCTCATAAATCATACGTGTCGTCGACGACTATATTCTGCAGCTCGGTACGAATGAAACCGTCACTACGACACGGTGAAATGTTCGCCTCGAGGTCCGTCTCGGTTGTGATCCGAAACTCTTCCATTTAAAGTATATTTCCATGTTATTGTAATCCTCAGTCAGGGGCTTCTTTACATATGCCTTGCTTCTACCCAGCACGATACATACATTAATATAGCTTAATGGATTTCTTGTTATAGTAAAGCATATACTGTACGGTTGTATGTCACGCGAGGATGACTCCCTCTCTCGCTACCCGCCGTCTATGGCTGTTGCTCATATAGTGACCGGATGTACCTGTACCAATTTATGCTGATGCACTGGAGATCACATCAAAGTCTTTCACCCAGCGTTTCAAATTTTACCGCTAGAAAATCTATCAATACTTTTTGGAGACTACATAATTGGGGGGGGAACCTTTTTCATTGAAGAAAAGTATCTTGGCTTTTATAATGTGAGTCTATAGGAATATTGATTCGATTTACCATAGGTTTTTATAAGACACAGTACTCTTTCAAACTGGGGAATGCCTGTACAACTTTCCTAACATTCAAAGTACCACAACAATATTAAATACAATACCACAGACTACTTGAGGTCCAGTTAGCTTCAGGTCCACTTCACTGCAGGTCCAGCCAACTTCATTCTAGTTCACATCAGGTCCACTTTAGGCAGTGATGGAGAAAGTACCTGAAAATATTACTTAAGATAAAGTACTGCACTGTTGATATGCAAACATTTAAACTATGTACTAAGTACTGTAGTCTTCTTCAAAACTATGCAAATAAAAGTTTCATAAACTGAATTGAAACATACAGGCAGAAAAAGTAGTACAGCATTTGTAAAGAATCATAATTAATAAACAATGACATTATGTTTTGAAAACGAAGCTAAAAGTTATTAATATACTGCACTGTACTTTAAAGAATAACGAAATAAACACACATTCAAAATTTGGTTTGGGATGAAAAACGTGAATCTGGGCCACAATTTTGAGAGGTCCCGTACCACCGACACCAATGGGAAGTGACTTTAGACACAATCATTTACATAAATGTCCACTTTTATAGGATTACTGTACAAGTGCACTTAAATACAAGTCCTCTAATACGCTCGGCTCGTACGCCCGACGCGAAGTGACGACGTCGGTCTTACCTCCCGCGGGTCGGCGGCGGCGCCGTTTCTCCGTTTGCCGTTAACGGCGTCGTGTGCGAGACCGGACGGGTCTGTACGGTCGAGTCTCCACTTGTCGTACCGAGATGTGTTGTTGGTCCTTAAAGCTTCCTGGAAATGTAACAGATACCTATATAATACACAACACTGTAAAACTATTATATTATAGGCAGGGATTATTTGACCAGTACTCGGCACAATAACCGCCGGTTATTTGACAAAGATCTAAAATAAAACTAAATCCTTTTGTCAACAGAAATTATACAATTAAATAATACCATAATGGAATGACTTGTTTAATGCCCCCAACCATCCCGACTACAATCCCACACGATCCCCGCAGGTCCCGGTCAAATAGCCGACGGTCATTTGGCCCAGAATCCGGGTCAAATAACAACTTTGTATTAAAAATAAACATTACTCAATAGTTTAACACCACATGGAGAAACCGATTACTCAAATAGGTTACGTAAAGTTGAAATTATCTTTTTCCAACGGTTTTTATGGATATTTTGAACGATTATGACTTTTGGAAAATAGATGCACGGCCAAAACGATAATTTTACCAGTATTTATTTGGATTTTTTCTAATAAATTTATATGATCTTAATTTCCTTACACTAACAAAAACAATGAATCTTCCAAAAAAAGTTACTTTCAACATGAAGGGTTAAAAAAAAACATTGAAAACCCTACCTAACCTAATCTAATCTAAACTACCTAACTTCTTGCGATGGACGAGCAAAAATTTAATCGGCATACCCGGTTTCGTACAGTCCAATAGCGTCTACATTTCGTGGACGTGACCGACACAGAACGAAACTGCGACGTTATTGACGGATTCTTTTCGTGCTTCCGGGAGAAACGCAAAATTTTGCGGGATTTATTATTTAAATCTCTCTCGCTCGAATTTCACATAATCTGCTGTGACCAAACAGAGGACAGTGCAAATCTATTGTGATATTTACGCAGGAGCTTAAACTTTTTT